CAACTCTCTATCTTTTAATTGATAGTCGTCTATACCCTGGGGCATGTCTTTGTCACGCCTTGATAGTGCATCTGGCCCGTCCGCTTGTTTACCCGGCTGGTATTTCAGTTTGAAGTTAAATTGGGAAAGTATTTGCAACCATTGGACTTGACGCTCATTAAGCCTTCGGGTTGACATGAAAGGCTTAAGATTTTTATGATCAGATAAAACAATGAAGGGCTTGTCTAACCCTATTAACATGCCTCTTCACTCCTCCATACAGCGAACAATGGCCAACAATTCTTTATCATGAATATCATAATTGGATTTGGCAGGACTCAGCTTTTTTGAAAGATAAACAATTGGTCGGAGAATTCCTTTGGCATCAATTTGTGATAAGCAGCCTCCCAGTACGTAGCCCGAACAATCTGCCTCAAGTTCTGTTTCCTTTTCATCATCCCACAAAGCCAATATCGGTGATGTAATAAATAATTTCTTGAGTTGATTGAATGCTTCTTGATGCGCGTCGTTCCAATTAAAAACTATGTTTTTTTTGTGGGTCTTAGAAGGGGTACGGCAATGCCACCAAAGTTAGGGATGAAGTCTCGATAGAAGTTCGCAAATCCTATAAAACTTCTTACACCTTTAGTACTCCTGGGTGCTTGCCAACTTTTAATAGCATCTACTTTTTCCGGGTCAACCTTAATACCCTCTCCTACACTTATTATAAACCCAAGATATTTTGTTTGTTTGACAGCAAATTCGCTCTTACGAGGGTCCATCTTTAGACCGGCTATTCCTAGACGTTCGAGTACCATATTAACTTTAATCCAATGATCACTGAGATCACCTGTGGTATATATCAGTACGTCATCTAAGTAGGCTGAACAAAAGTCCCCGAGGAATTGCTGTAAAACGGTGTTAATATATCGTTGGAATGCACTTGGCGCCCCTGTTAATCCGAATGGCGTGACAAGCCATTCAAAAGAGCCATAACGAGTACGAAACACTGTCTTTGGCTAATCACCTTTATGGACTCTTAACTTATGGAAAGCCGCTCGAACATCAACCTTTGAAATCCAGGTAGCTTTTGCCACTTGCCTCAGTGTTTCTTTAACAAGTGGAAGTGGGTATCTATCTTTGATCTTAATTGAATTAAGGGCCCGATAGTCCACACAAAATCGTAATCCTCCTCCTGGTTTCTTGGCAAATAACACTGGGGCTCCACCTGGTGAGGCACTCGCCCGAATCCAGTTTCGATCGAGATGATCTGTAAGTGTCTTTCGTAAGACAAGCAATTCTTCTCGTGACATATCGTAAAGAGGGCCGAAGGGAATTTCTTTCTCCATACCATTTTCATCCTTGACTAGCTCAATTTTAGTGTCAACTCCCGGTCGATGGGGAGGTAGCTCGTTCTTTTCATCTTCTGTAAAGTATCGGGCGATTTGGCGAATTTCTTGTGGTAAGCTAGCTTCAATTTGTTGCAGAGTTTGTTTCGCCTTACTTTTAAGCGCCTTGTTTATATCTGAAATCGAAGCCGCAAAAAGTTTCGTATCCTTATCCTTAGTTTTGCGTGCTCGTGTGCATATAGCTAAGAGGTGAGTTCCAAGAATCTAGTGAGCACCTCCCGTCTTAACTTTTAGACAACTTATCCTTGCCTTCAAATGCACAGGCAAACGGTCATCCAAGGATCACCCAGGATTATGTCATAGGCAAGATCATCAATGATATAACCCCAGATTCTTTCACAACTACCATCAATATCTATATCTACACAGGTTATTTTGTTTATAGAGCGCCGGTGATCATCATTCTTTGCCAGTTTCAGCTCTCTCATTTCGATAGGAATTTGCGGTAGCTTGTGGCGTTTTACAAATAAATAATTGAGAGCGGAATAGCATAAGCACCCTGAGTCCATTAATATATTGGTGTAAAAACTTTTATTAATTAATACTTCTAATAGGAAGGGTGTGCCATCTAATTTCTTTACAATACTTTTCATTTCTTCGGCCATAGCTAACATTTTCCTCTGGGCCCGACTTTGTCTAGAGTTCACTCGTTTCCCGACTCTTCCTCATCGACTGCTGAACCTAAACCTGGCCTTTGAGTTTTTGAGCTACTAGCTGCTATCACATTTATATTCGAGGGTCTCCTTGCCCAGGTAAAATCGGGGCATTTTTTGTGCCAATGTCCATTTTTCTCACAGCGGGTACACTTACCTGCCGCACGCAAGGCTGCAAATTCTTTTGGGGAACGCCATAGCGCTGGGGGTTTGCTAGTTTTAATATTCCCCTTTCCTGGATTCTGTAAATTCACTGCATTGATAATTTCGGTCAGTGTTGAAATGCTTATGCCATTGATCCCCGACATTTGAGTATCACCATTGGCATCCACGATATTAGAAATTTTTTCTCGTAAATTGTTCGAGGAAATTTCAGGACCCAAAGCAGAACTTGGTTGAGTGCCACCTTGCCTGTTAATATACCACGTTTTTGAAAAAATTGGACCTCTTTTCGGAAAGTAGTTGTCACGAGCTTCTAGTTTACCCGAGACTTCTCGCAATTTTCTGACAAATAGTGTAAAGTCATTTTCTGAGGTCGTTACATAAACCAGAGCATCCGATAATCGATCATTTAAACACAAGCTCAGATGGTTAATTTTAACGCGACCTTCCCATTTAAGCCCCTTTGCCTGTGCAAGTGTGTACTCAAAGTCTCCAAGGAATTCGGAAAAAGTTGATGTTGACCTTGCCTCATCACGGATAGCGATTCTCCCGCAACTTTTACAGACGTTTTATCCTCAAAAATTTCATCAAAATGGCGAAGAAATGATTTATAATTCCAGTTGTTATTTGGACCGCCTGTAGAAAACCAGTGTGAAACTCGAGTCCTGCACTGTTTGGGAATTGCATCCATCATCTCCATACAAACAGCGCGGTGACCTCCTAGCAACTCCTAATCAACTTCTATCTTAGTGTTTAGCTGATCCATGAAAGTGTTGTAGAGCTCCTTAGATCCATCCCATTCTGGCCATCTTGAAGCCTTTTTTCTTCTAGAGGTTGGGGCAGATCTAAGCTCTTCGGGAGCTAGGCCGTCTTCGACATCTATGAGAGATAAAAGCTGATTTAATTGCTCCTGTGTCAATCTAGTCTTTGGCAGAGCTGCTTTGGAATTAGACGAAAGGGGCAAATTCTCCATGTTATAATCAGACATTGATAAGTACTCTTGTGAAAGAACTGAATGGTTTGTATAGGCAGAGTCAGTAGGTGATGGGACTCTAAGCGTGCTCATATACAAAAAAATGTTATATAAAACTAGGAGAGGTTTTAAAACTTGCACTAGCAGTGTAAAAAAAAGTTGGGACACAAAATATGTGAAATGATGGCACCAGAGTGAATAGCTGTCCGCACGAGTGTATCCAAAAAGGGTTTATTTTGTGTCTAAAGAGAAAAACTACATACTTGTGGGATCACCCCTAGATGTTGTGTCGCTTATCGCTGACATAATCAACTCCTAGGATCCGGATAAACTCCAGATCCCATCTACAAGGCAATAGCCTGTAACAGATGGTGTGAAATAAGGTCATCTCATCGCACGGCAACTGCTGGCGCAACTCAGGGCGTTGACTTACAAATTGAACTCTTGGTGGACAACATCGGTGGGTTCAGGCGAGGTGCAGGGCGCCGGAACTACAAATCGTTTTTATTTTCATGTTTCCCATCGTTCTTTTGAAACAGTCATCTTCGTAATATTGAGTCTTTCGGGACCAACTGCATGTGTCATGCCAAATAACATGCAAGGTTTGCGACTGGCACGTTATAAAATGAACAAAGAGGACGATCAAGGAATTTATTTGCTTGTTTGGTTTGTTGACCCATTAAGTCAATGAAAATATTAGGACATGTAGGTCTTTTCTACCAATATTCCAGGAGTATCTATGCCTCCTTCGTTACATCTTTTTAGCAGTTATACCTCCACAGGTCTTCATTTGAGTGCACACCTAAAGTTATCTCGTCATTATCTCCCTTCTCCGGCTAAAGAAATGATGACCATTTGCGGGTATGTAGGCGTAGGGAAAAGTCTCAAGAGCTAATGGGTGTGAGACTCTCTTGTTATCGACATAAGAACTAAATCCGAAGACATAGTGACCCTTCTGAAACATTCGAAGAAGCTGGCCAGCCGAGCGCAGCAGACCTGCATACATCTAAGAGCTTCTCAACCTTCCTAGCCTTCGCCTTGCTCATTTCCTGATTTATGCCATAAGAGAAGCCAAAGGTTACGAAAGGATGTCAGAAAATTCTTGGTCGAGAGTGACTGCCATGAAGGAGCCTAGCCTAGCATCCAAAAGTTGTAATGGACATGAGTGTGTCGAGTAACTCATGTATCTCAGATGCACTCCTTGCTAGTAGATTCGGAAGTAAAGATTAGGATGGACGATGTTGTTAACGAGTCGAAATCTGCTTTTCTTGAAGGCGGAAGGGTCTTTTACTTTGCTTTCGTGAGCTTTTTGTTTGCCCGCCGGTGGGTAGCACATGTTGTGATATAATGCGGGCTTCTCTGACTACAGTTGTAGCTTTTTGTACCATAGTATCCTTCCTCTTTCCCAGCATCATTATGTTGATCTTCATCGTCGTATGTGTTATCGGATGTGTATCTTTGATGCGGGAGATGACGCAGCTCAAAGTTGAAAAGATAGTACTCAATCTCGGCTCTGTAGATTCTACAGTGAGAGCTAGAGGTTTGTAGGGGACGCACTGACAGGTGTTGAGTTTTTCCCCCTTGTCAGGGAATATCTCTGTCTATTATCGTAAGCTATTTGCTTCAATTCCACCCGCACTGTGAGCTCTTTTTGCTTGACATCAATTGTTACAAATTTTTGTATTATTAATAAACCTAGCCCAGTGATAGATGCTTATGTTTTAATTACATCACGACATTTCTAATCATTACATCTATGTAAACAGTACTTTCTGTTCATTAATTATCTACAGACGCCTTTAGTAATAATGCACATAGAGAACCTTAACCCAGGGGTTTAGCTTTTTTCTTCTTTTTTTTATCGCAACCTTTCTGGAAATCTCTCCAGCTGCCGATTCTTTGTTCTCTTGTCTCCTCCCAATCTTTCTCGTGTTCTCTCTTTCTCTTTCTAGCTTCTCCCTCTTCTTCAGCTTTTTTCATTTCCCTACCCTCTTCTTGCATTTGTGCCTTAATCTGCTTTCGCCTACGATGCTCATTGTCAATCAGTACAAACTTGGTCTTCTCTCTCCATTCCTTTGCAAACGCATTTGTTTTCAACTCGGGACTATCTACTGTCCATTTCTTCTCACGAATAAGGAGCATGCGCGCATCTGCTATTGCCTCGTCAAGAACTAAGCGATGCTTCTCATCCATAAGTTCTGTCTGAGCTTTCTTAAGTCGGTCAAACGCTTCTGGTGCCAGCTGGTTTTTGGTCTTGTCTGGATGGATAAGGAGTGACTTTACACGGTAACATTTTTTTATATCAGACTCTGGAACTCCCGGTTGCAAGTCGAGGACAGCATAACTGGTTGTGACTCAATAAGATAGCTACCTACATTAAAAGGAATCCTACTTACGCATCGAGTCTAAAGGCCTTGAGAATCCTATCAATCTCTGCATCCTAGTTTAAGAAAGTGAGTCAGGCTGCATAATTAGAGTGGGGGAGTAAACAACCGACCTTTTGGTATTCTCTATCCTCAGACTCGAGCGCTTCAAGTACTTCGGAATCATCATCAATTTTTGTGGACGTGATATTCATACCTCACCAAATTATGCGTCAAAAAATAGTGCCTAATTAATTCTGATTTGTGACGGATTCGTAGACAATCTCGTATCAGATGTTGGAGGCGTGATTATGTCAGAGTTGTTTGTTCAATGATCATGCACGTGCTCACAGGGCGCGTAGGTAAAAAGGTATTGTAGCGTTAGCCAAGACCGTGAACGCCTATTTCTGTCATATGTGTGCCATTTACGATTCTACCAGGAAGGGAAGACTTGACACCTGTTCACAGTGTCCTCTACAAACCTGAGAATGAAGTATTCTCCCAGAGCCAAGTTCAATCATATTTCGCAATACTTAAGAAGTTGGCACAAAGCATTGATTCAAAATACTCTACTATGTCGAATTTTTACTCTCAAGATCTACTCCTACCGAAACCTCAACAAGGTTACAGATACGACCAATTTCATTCTCATTTCAATGAATGCACCTCTCATTGACAAATCTTAGGACCTAGCAGGTCACTAAATGTACGCCCATGACAATACGAATACCTTTATGAGGACAAAAATCGTGGCACGTAAATTTGGGAGGAATTTCATTTGGATAGATGAGAGAAAAATTGGGACAAGTTTACAAGATAATCTAAAGGAAGGTTATAACCTCAACGGGCGTGAAATTTGGAATTTTGGCAAGGAGTTTTACACATTAAAGAATATTGTGCGCGCTAATACTTCGAATGCGAGAGTGCAGTTGACGCTCTAAAAACAAGTCAATGATGTAATGCGCCGTGGTCTGCCTACTGGTGGTGTCTCTGGTATAGTTTGAGTAGCCTGGACACCTACTCAATTCGGGAAGGAGACGCCTCAAATCATATTTCATGCAGAGAAACGTCTATGGATGATAGAAACGTGTCTGGAAAACTCTGGGTTTTTGGGACGTTTCCCTTGGTAGGCATTCACGGGTGAGGGCCGACTTGGGTTGAAGAAAAAGTCACCATAACCTCGCAGTGTCACTTGCAAATAAAATCCGAGGCATGAATGCTCTACTTGTCTATTGAGTCATCTTTTCTGTACTTTTCCTCTGATATAGTGTCAAAGCTAGATGGCTGCATACGCAAATAAAATCAAATTCGAAAAAAACGATGCTACCACAAATCACATCAGACATTGACAAGGCATCATAGGTAAACGATGATGATGAACAGCCAACCCAATTAACCTTATCTCGTGGCTTTGCCACACAAATTCAATATTCTTCACCGTTTCCGCGTGCTCAACATTTATTCAGTCGAATACTTTCGGCATAAATCCAAGCCCTAAATCACCTCACTTCTATTCCTTATCTGCACGTAAAATCTATGGGGGAAATCAGAAGTAGGCCTGCGTATCTCCCGGACAGCGATCATCTCACAGTAAGGACAACGAGGGCTACAGTTCGGATGCAGCAAATATATGCTTGGCACCTCCCGATACCTACATCATTAGATGACAGATACTCAAGACTCATGACTGAGAGTTGTGCAGAAATTGTGCCCTTGCAAACCCTAACTTATACTTCATACGGCTGCAAATAATGGTGCGTTAAAACCTAGTACCTGAGTGTGACGCACGGACTACACGAAGGGTGCACTTGCGACATTCCTCGCGCAGGAGACATGTAACTGTAGATAAACAGTTTTGCCATAGTGCCAACTGGCAAAAAAAGGCTCAATACTAGATCTGCGTATGTACTATCTATCTCACTATTTATTGTAGACTTGTGAGCTCACCCAGAGCGTCATACTGAGTGCCTCAGAAAACCATACCACTCTTTAGGTGCTTCACCAATAACCTCTCCGATTCATTCCAAAAAGAGATTGAAGCGCGGCGGGTCGACGATTGGTTAGGTACACTTTAACCAGAGACTGTGTGTGCTTTCTTCGATGGATTATCTAGTGGTCCGGGTCAGTCCGCATAGGGACATGTAATGTAAAAAGGAAATCAGCTAGCCAGAAATTAATCTAGTCTATAACTAGGCACTGAGTTATATAATGGGTAAATCATTGGCCTTTATATTCAGTAAACTATCATCTAAAGGAAGTTGAATCTCAGGTCATGCAGCTATATCAGTGAATATTTGGGTGTCAAGACTTATATTGGCGAGCAGAGCTGCAATGATATCAGCAGATAATTTCCGGGCCCAGGCTGGTGAAAACTCTCTGAAAGGCAGGACAACCAAATTGAATGCAGTGGTAGTTTTTATCAAGTATTTTGAATGAAATTTTAAAGCAGTAGACCAGAATGATCTTGTAAGTGGAATAGTAGTTCCATTTACCAAGTGACAAATAAACTTGCTGTTGCCTCCAAGAAGTTATAAGCCTCAGTTATTTTCGTCACATAATTTTTCGGGTTTTCTAGTTGAGTGAGAAAATATAGATCTCGTAATTGTTTTCGACCCCCAATTTTCTGGATTACAAACTAGATTGACAAGGTCATTTGACGAAAACGCCGGCGTTGCAGCATTGTTCCTAGAGGTTGAACGATTGAGACGTTATTTCCATGTAGAAGGAATAGTCTCATGCGTTACATAAATGATGGTCAATGTCTATGAAAAAGTAGGAAATATCACGAGAGAGTCCGATCAATCAATTATTCTCTAAGCACCTTCCTGCTAATATTTGAGACTTATTCTGGAAGTTTCACACATGTTTGTTGCATCAGCTAATATGCAACGAAAGTTTAGAGTTGACTACTCTACTGAATGCCTCATGCAGCACGCCAGTTAGAAGTCATAATTTTCTGGACCCAGTGTTCATTTTCCATCCCTAAAAGAGGGTTCTATTCAGATAGCTGATGTTCTATGGGTAAGATTTGTTTTCTCTTCGTGGGCACACACTAAAAATGAGTTTGGAATTCAGGGAGTGTCTGAAAACTTGCAGCTGATTAGACTCATAAAAGAACGTTGGCCTCCAAAGTTTAGGTGCCAGGTAGTGCCTCGTGTGGCTAAAGAATTTTACTTAGTACTCTCTTAACTTGTTCAGAATCTATCTCTAGTGTAGGCTTTGATGCTACAGCTGCCTGCTTGAAACTTCTAGGACGTTCTTTTCTCCGTTCAATATCTTTATCCCCTCCATTTTTCTCTGTATTATTTTTTTTCTTGATCGCATTCTTAGATTCCATACCTTCCAACATCTTAGCTCTTTCAATATTTTTGACAAACTCTTTATTCTCTTTTGTGCTTTTGCTTATTTCTGCTCTCATTCTACTAGCTCTTTCTGCATTCTCGGCAGCGATTTGCGCTGTTAGATTGTTCCATTTAAACCCCTTCAAATATAGCATATTCCATACGTCATCGCGATAATAGGTGCCTTTTTTCCCACCGATTGTTCGTGCATTGAGTAGTTCGCAGGCTGCTTTGGCCTCTGATTTGTTGACAAATTCCACCCATCCATCGATAAATGAGCGTTTCTTATTTCCACCATGACGGACTCTTCGTGCATGCGCAGACGGATCCTCGGGGGTAAGAAATAACCGGTTTATGGCGCCGTAGGGCTCAAGGAGTGACCGAAGTTTGGTGGGTTTCATAAAGGGCGGTATTCGAGAAATGTAGACTACGCCCGAACGTTTGACTGCCGCAGCGGTTGCAATTAGGTTCTTCTTAGTGATAGGTCTAGATAGCCCAGGCATAACTGAATCATCCTCAATGTGTTGAGGATCATTTTTTCTAGCTTCTGTAGCCGGCTCAATCAGTTTTTCAGGCGTTTCTCTCTCAAAGGATTTATCTAGAGTCGTGCCAATTTTCTCGTCGACTTTTCGCCTTTTGGAAGTTCTCCCTCCCTTTTGAAGATCCTCGGCGTTCGAGTCGTACGCATCGGCATTGTCGCTATCGCTATCTCCTGCGTCGAGGAATTCGTTGTGAGTGCGCGAAGTCATCATTTATATATTCTAGTTCAAGGTACGGAGAAATTTATTGGAATTCAAAGTATTGATCTACTGCAATATCTTCGATTGTTCAGGTCCGGGGTTCGTAGCTCTCGGTTCTAGAGAACGCTAACCCTTGGCACTTCGGTCAGCAATGTGTAATTCATGCGACTTTTATGATGTAGTTAGTAATTACGCCCTGATTAGAACTCACACCAATATGATTCGAAAAAAAATCTACACATGAGAGAGCCCAGGAATCTTCTAGCTGCATCTTTTTAACAAACCAAAGTAAGGACGGCAACAACTCATTACCTACGCGCGATGTTCTTAACAAACCAGTGAGTGAAATATTTCCCGAGAGCTTAGTTCAGTGTGATTGCATAAAACCGAAGTAGCGAACCAGGCAGTAATTTAATGCTCACTATCAAGCCAAAATTCCGTTACTATAAAGATCGTTTATCACCAAAGTATTATACAGACTATGCATACGAACTATCATAATCTCAGTTATATGACGACACCTCTTCAAGTCGGTCTATGGACTCAAATAGTCTCCACTTATAAACTTACGCCGATATTAATACCCGACGGAGGGAACAAATCCTATGGCACAAACCTCTTTGGCATATTTTTGAGATGTACTGGAGAGTGATCGGTGCAAAGGATTGATAAAATCTCTAAATGGGCAAGTCTTGGACTTTTGCCAAGAAGCTTTTCGCGTAGAGCATTGAGCGTTACACAATCTCGAATGCAAGGTTACAAGCGATAGTGTGAACACCGTCATGGCTGGATGGAGCGGTGGTATATCATCTAAGCAGGTCTCACAAATATAATCTGGATAGATAGGACACACAAACCACTCGAGACAGGATATCATTGTCTTGAATCCGGTAAAGGTTTTCCATGTTTATTGCGTTACCACTGTGTGTGGATGAGGAAGGTATGCTTGGATAATAAAAGGTCTTGAAGTTTCTCTTTGGTGGATACTCATAGGGGAAGCTCGACTGTTCAGTGTAGAATAACAAATCTCATAGTGGTAATTGCGAGTAAAATCCAGAGTGTGAGTGTCTCTGGAGTGAAAAAAGTCATCCAAAACGAACATAGATCACTAACCAAATGCCTCGGCTAGATTGTTGCATGCACGTAAAAGATACAAAGAAACAAAGCTAAAATTGAGAAGTTCAAAAGGTCCCTTGTTAATGTCGCTTGGAATTGAGATTGTAGCACATCCTGCTCAGACGGTGTTGTACTGCACAGTGGGTACCAAATATGTTTGTATAAGTCCTATCCACCGCCACGACATGTAGACATATCACTAAGCTACTCATCGTATCAACAAGCTCCGATAATAATTATTCACCTTCCTTTGCTATCCCTAGCCGATTAAACATTCTATATTTACTCACCTTAATCACAAACCCTATCCCTTCATGATTATTCTTGAGCTTGTACGCTCAAACCAATGACCATCGTGAGGTATCTCTGGATGCCTCCGGTAGGGAATGGATCTACAAATTCGACGACCTCTTCAAGATACATAAGATTGTGTCGGGAACTTAGGCGAAATGGGAGGCCCGTACTTCCACAACACCCTGTGTCTCGATTTCCAACAGTCCATCTGATCAGAAAACAATGGTAACGAGGCACATGAATCTGTCGAGCATGTGCAAGAGACATTTGGCTCAAAAGAAAAGAAGGGAAGTCGATGGAGCCTACAGGGTTATCTACAAGAAAATTCACTGCGCCAGTTTCTAAAGCCAATGTCACCACGGCTGCAATAGAATTTACACCAGAGCTTCACACCTTGTTAGAGGCCGAAAAGCGTCAAACTGCGCAAACTACGGCCCGCCTAATGATCTGCTCAACTGCCATGAGTTATGTTATAGCAACACTTTCATCTCTCTCGATAGATTAAGACAGAACTTGTAGACGGTATCAAAGTCTTCTTACGAGCAGCCATTGGCCAGTTTGCTCAATCCAGCTCGAGTAGTACGCCACTGGTTCTCTCCAATAACCCCGAAAACTTTCTTCCGTCTAGGGCAACGGAAATAAAGGTCCCCAATCCTTTGACATCCCAAACTCTGGCCCCAAAAATAAATTGGAAAACCGTTGCTTTAAGTGGCTTAATTCGCAGCGCTGGGCTGTTGATAGTGGTAAAGAAAGCAAAACCTTCCAGAAAAATAAAGATTGTCGACTCGAGAATAAAGGTCAATAAGCAAAAATTTCTTCGCCTCCAGACTAACAAGCCCCTCTGACTCCTTGCGGTGTAGATTCAGCAGTCACAGATTCTTGGTACTACAGCCAATAATACCACTCTGGTCTAGCTGGTCAAAACCAACTTTGGATTAACAGTAAAGGACTGTTTTGCTCGGAAAGAGCTGCAAGATTCCTCCGTACCACAGAGAAATGCAAACATCAGACTAGAACTAGCATCTAATCTAGCTAATATTCAAACTACCATCGTTCTAGTGACAAAAAATCACTCTCTGGTCTTTTCGTAATGACATCTCAGATGGTTGCCGACGTAGTCACACAAGTGGCCAAATCGGTTCCTGTTGGAAAATATGGTTATTTAGAGACAATCATACCACCCACTAAGTAGCAGTAGTGTTTGGATCCCTCTGATTGGTCTGAAGCGTAGGCCCTCATGTACGGGTGTTGATCGCACTAGTGCCTTGGCATCTACATAGGGTAACTCTCACTAGATAGCTTAGATATAGAGGAGAAAAGAACAACAAACCCCTCTGAAATTCAAAACCTATGATGCTAACACATTTAATACCCGTGACATACCGACAGTTCCCTTTCTGGCTCATCCACACGATACCTGCAAGCCCAGACCTCCTACCAGAATCAGCAACTACTCCCTTATCGCAAATTTACTCCTCGACCTAGGTTCTGCCATTTTAATGACTCTGGATCTACGAAGCTCTCTCGACCTCGTCGACAAGTAAAAAAATACAAATACCATCTTTGCTTTCACATCACCCTCAGTTACTTCTATCTTCTATCACACTGGAACCATGAGTCTATGATTCACTCACAAGCTGAGTGTACGACTTTAACACCTTTTCTAAACTGTGGGAGATCTAATCTATGTGATTTTCGGGACTGGCTACCTAGACCCATGAAGAGTCAATTGGTGAACAAAGAGTTGCTTGCGGTGGTTCTAAAAGCCGAATAGCATGGGTTTGCAGCTGCAGACAATAGAGCTGAAGAAGTAATCGTTACCTCCGCAGAGAATTTTCCCATGGCAAAGAGATGGGGGTGTTAAATTACAAGAGCCTCGGTCAAGCACAATTATTCTTATATCCTCAATATAATGGAGTTAGGGTTGTGGTAATTGTTAATTTAGGAGTATAAGGGTAAGGCGTTTGGAGATTTTATATATCCTGTATTATTAGTCCCTTATTAGCGTGCAGAATAGGCTGGTAGACACATATTAGTAGGAGCATAGTCACAGCATGAATTGATGCTGCACGTGCCGTGAGATATACACGTTCTGTTAACCCAATACTTTATCAGTTCTACTTCCAGTACTACTGTATCACCCGTCTAAAGGAATCATATTCTAATAGGGGGCTTAGATTCCTGGAGTCCAAAGATGTAAAGGTTTATTGAATTCAGATGTACTTGAAAGACAACAACTCGATAGGAATTAATAACTTCTCCTTTAGGAAGAAAATCTATCAGGTAGTCTCCCATCCGATATTTGCTCTGCGTAGACTAGTCTTAACTCCCCACCTTGGCCTCTTGAGAATCATCCTTTCTCCCCGGCTCACCTCTTCTCCTATACCATACTCCCCATCTGGCACATACCCCCTTGATACCTCCTTATGCACCCCATTCGCATTTTCAGGAGCGCTGGTCTGCCAGAGCCTAACCTCTAAGACTGAGTGGTCCTTGTGATCAGTCCCAATCCGGGCAAAGCCAGTCACTGAAGGGTAGGCTTGAGGGTACAGCCACTCTTGGTGTAGTATTCTAAAGCTTCAACTAAATACACCTGGAAACTGGCTGACCATGATGGATATCTTAGAACTTACCTTTTGCACCCTGGATAATTCGGAAAATATTGGGAGATATCCCAGGAAATAAAACGGGCGAGAAGTGGGGTCAGGACCAACATGGAGAATTCTCTTCAATTAATTTCTGTTTTTGATTTCAGGATTGTCAAGTTCTTCGCTTTTTATGGGAGCAACGCAGTGCGTACTAGTTGAAGCTATGAGCAGAAATCCTCTTCGGATACACCGGTCCTGTACTCTTGGTGGACTTGGAGCTGTGGCCTATATTAAAATGACAGAGTTATTTGGGAAGTGCGATAGGAGTTGCTAGACTCTATCGAGACATCACTTTATACGGCTGAGGACTGGAATTGATAGATCAACAAGAAAGTGGCAGAATTGTATTGTTATTAGACCAAAGTGGTACATTTAAGTGGGTAAGTAACTCTGATTTTCGTTACCTTGTCATCACCAAGCAACTACGTCACATTCTAATTTGTTGAAATATGATATATCTTGGCATGCCAAGAATAACTTGATTGTAAGTCTGACTAAGTAGACTATCAAATTCCCCATCCTATATGGTTGTCATCAATACATCCTTCACTGAAAGTTTAATACGCAATAGATCCTCGGACCTAATACCGACACACATATATTTAGCTTTATATTCCTGGCTTATATATCTACATGTATACAGATCTATGTCTTCAGGGATCATAAATTATGATTCATGGAGATTGATAAACACTGGCCAAAAACCACAGTTGATAGATTATGCGCACACGCAATCTCACTTTTATCATGGAAACTTACTCAGAACCATACATACCATTACAATTGTTTGCACTCAAATCTTCCTTCTGCAATCCAATGCAAGACTCACTGTATCGGTCTAACCGTCGATACTGATTCCGCTCTTACCTCCGCCTTCGCTCAAGCTCTTAACTTTCACATCATCGAGTTCACCACTTGATACTAGGTTAGACCGAAAATCTTCCTACACTT